CAACGTGTACAACAACCTTGCCATCTTGTACCTGGCCCGGCCTGTTGAATACACCCCTGTCATCGGCCCTGTTTGTCTCCCACCGTTTGAAGCCCGCAACTTTGACGGACAGCTGTGAGTCTCTATACTCATTTTTTTAGATATTCTTTTAAAATTTGAAGTGACATTTTCTGTCACTTGAAATAATGATGAAAATCAGCTACTTTATTTCAACCAGTAATGCCTTGGTGGCCTTCAAAGCTATACCTCTGAAACAGTTCCACACGATTTAGAAACTGCTCACGACTTCTCTAATTTCGTGCATGAACAATGGAAAGATTCGCTTGCGTATTCCGCAAACGATCTTTGTGGCTCCGGAACAGTAACCGAGTCCAAAAGCTCTTGTGTTTGAATTGTTCACATTGCTTTTTCTAAGAAAACGGAGTTGAGCTCATGTTTTCTTTGAATTCATGGAACGTGGCTCGAATATTTTGTGTTCAATGATTGAAAAGTGGCGACTGTTGCGCTACTACTATCAATGTTGTCATAATGGCCAATTGTATAAGAGAGAAAAATATTGAAGAAATATGCGTCCACCGACTTTCATTACAAATTTAAATAAACTAAGCTTCCATATAATATCAGCAGCATTTAATTTCTGTCGGATCAGGAACGCAAACGAATTTACGAGTTCACCGAAACGTTTCAAAATCTACGTAAAGATCTGAAAGTTTTAAGCAATATTTGGCAAAACAATCTCGGTTTTAGCCCTCGTGCCAAGGAAATTTCCCAAGAAGGACTTGCATCACGAAGACTAGTGCACTACAGATAATAAAAGCATAACTAGCACATGAACATCGAAATAAAATAAAATTTTCGAACTTCATGAAAGGTATTGTGACTCTTGTGAGACGAATTTTCGTTCTTGTTACATTTTCGTCGCACTCTGGGTCTCTCCCACGCATGAAAAAACTAAAAAAAAATGCATTGAAAAGACAAATTCAAATCTAAACAATTTTTATATGATTCCAACTTTCCTAATTTCCCTCTCAGCTTTTTTTGAATCTCGTAATATTTTGTTTTCACAGTTGCTGGACGGCAGGCTGGGGCAAAGATGCCTTCGGTCACAAAGGAGAATTCCAAGCAATTCTCAAGGAAGTTGATGTGCCAGTTCAAAATCCTCAAACTTGCCAGAATCTCTTGGGACACGTTTTGTCGACTCCGGGTCGTCCATACAAATTCAACGCCAGGCAGCACATTTGTGCTGGTGGAATCGCAGGAAAAGATGCGTGCGACGTGAGTTCATTTTTAAAAATTGTCAAAAAAAATCAATGATATCCAGTACTCTCTTCTCTGGTGCATCAATGAATGAGATTTCATGTATTAAACAGGGTGACGGAGGAAGTGCATTGGTGTGCCAGAACCAGTTCGACAAGAAATTTTACCTCGCTGGCATCGTCGCATTCGGTGTCGGTTGTGCTCAGCCTGACGTTCCCGGAGGATATGTCAACGTCGTCACATTCAACGAGTGGATCAGGCACAACACTGGCTATCACTGAAATCAAATTTATAATCAATTCGAATAAGCGATTTGAATGTTCGATCCTTGGAGATTCAGCGCAAAGCCCCGTGTATTGTTTCGAGATTGATGCTCGCTCAGTCACGCGGAATAAATTAATGATCATCCGAAAATAAATCAATTTTCTTGCCTTCAAAACGCAGTTTGAAAATTATTGAGGACTATGGGATTTTTTTTTGCTAGTACTACAGTAAATATACCACTAAGACTTCGCTGTTGACTCGCATATAATCTCAACACTTATAGTTGCTTGAAGTTTACTACAACTTTTTGGACTCAAATCCAGAAAACACATTTATATACATGCCTCATGACATATAAAGGGGATAAATGAATTCAGAATTTCAGATTTAAATTTCTTTTATTTTTCTAGAGTACTTCACCAATAAAATGGCGTCATACATTCGCTGGATGGAGATTATCATATTTTAAAGATTAACATATTATTCATTCATGACCGTTTCAATGAATGCGCTAATGTTGAAATGGGGAAAAACAGGGAGTTGAAAACAATCTCATTTATAGTATGACGTTTTTACAGCATAATTTCCAAAGCTAAATATTCAGTACCATGTTTTATTCAAAGGCTGCCAAAGTACTATGAATTGCTTCAAATAAATTTAATTTATTAATAGTTTTGAAGTCACGCCGGCACTAAAAAAATTAAAATTAAAAAACAACTAGGCTTCTCTTTTCAGTTTTTGCGCTATTAGTCATGCTGAAAATAAAGATCGCCACAGAAGATTTCGAAGTCAGGGCTGCTATTGAAAAAAGTCTGAAGAGAATTTAAAGTGTTGGCTTCTTTGAGCTTTTTCAGTGAAGTGGCTCCTTTTCGCTTTGAAGTGCAGTCGTATTTTCATTCTAAAACTGGTCATTTACAAGTATGACGATACTTTAGAACCATTTCGTGTAATGCTGACAAATTCATGAACTTTACTGCTTGATGTCGATCAGAGTTCGTTTCATCGGCCGTGGTACACGTATTGCAGTTGGGAATTGAATCTGCTGTAGAAGTCAAAGTCGTCTTCATCATCATTGATTCGAGAAGGTCTTTTATTTGTTTTTTGAAAATGACTTTATTACACCATCACTCATTCGAACGAAAAGAAAAACCAAAACGTAAACTCCATCTAAGGAACCGCAATTTGCGAATGGAACTCATGACACACGAGTGTGAATGACTTAATTGTGGATGTCCAATCGAACGCACAAAATGCCTTTTCCCTTTTTTTGTTTTGTTTTTCTCAGTACTGAAGATCACTGGCCTTCATCTCCTGTATGCTTTCAAATCATTCGACAATAAGAAAAAAAAGAAAACCCAAGCGAAAGACGCGGATTTTTGTGCGTGTTTCAAATAAAGTCAGTAAATATGCGCACTGATGCTCGGCTTGATGTCGATCCCAGCGTAAGACATCCCAGGGTTTCCGTTGTTGCTGGTCCCAGTCTGGCCCAGGATGTTGGAATATGGTCCCGAAAGAACCAGAGATGGCTGGGGGCTCAACGACGGGATTGATGGGCTGGAAGAGTGACCAGAGTCTGCTGCAGCCCCGCTGGTCGTCGGGATTTTGCAAGACAGCATTGATGATCCCGGAGGAGACGGGTTGCCTGGCAACTGATGCTGCTGCAGGTGCTGTTGATGCTGCTGCTGAAGCTGCTGGAGTTGTTGCTGGTGGTGCTGCTGGTGTAATCCGGATGACGCCAAACTGGACCACTTTGCTTGGTTGCTGAGTAGATTCTGGGCACTGTTCTCGATTTTGGTCAAACCTGCGAATAAAGAAAGAAGAAAAAAAAGAAGAAATTGATCAATATGGACTTTTGAAGGATAGAATCGCCATTTTTGTCCGAATACAAGATTCCATCGATTGTAAAACACATGCTCATGCCTTTTGTGCCTCAAAAATAGAAAATGTTTTCTGTACAGTCGCATGCACTTGTCAAATTCAGAATAAAGAATATACCGCGTTGTTACGATTTTTCTCTCACGGTAGACACGAAACGAATTAAATCTAGTCGTAACAAGCTTTCAGTATCAGGACCAAAATTAACACTTTCTTCAGCGGTTGCACAACATACTGTATTTTGAAATCAATTTTATTCAATCTATGCCTCCGTGAAATAAATTATGAAACGTTGTGATTTTACTGCCTCTCAAACGAGGGGGTTTCCTCAATTTTTCCGATGATTGAATTGTTTATGAAATCATGGGAATGACATTTGATGCGATCTTTCATTTGTCTTTCCTCTGCATTATTATTAATTATTAATACTGTATTATTAAATTAATACTTATTAACTCCGAAAATGAATTTAGGAATCAAAGGAAAATTTAATTCGAGTGTGGACGTAGCACAAAGTATGTTCAAGTTTATACCGTTTTTGAAACTTTGACGATCTATAAAGAAGTTTTTTTTCTAATCTTTCATCGTTTCTCTCCCTGTTGAATGCGTTTTAAAGACTCAAAGAGGGGTACGTCTTTACTTGCATGATCTTCTAAGCTCCGTTTTCACATTTTATCTCAGAAGTTACTTTTTTTATAACAAATATTGAGAATAATTTTGTCATCCAATTCTCAAGAGGAACATGCTGATTAATCAAAGACGAAAGTCTCGTGTTTATGTGGTTCAAATTGCAAGATAAGATTTGTTCATCGTCGAGAGCGGGGACCAAGCGGAGAACTGAAGAATAAGATGTGGAATAAGTTGGAGACCTATAAAAAAAAAGAGACACTTTTCTGGAAAACCCGGCTTCTCTCGCCAGCGACGTGTTCCAGCGGCTGACATTTAATCAAGGAGATTGCCTCGGGCTGTGCACATAACGAGAAAGCAAGGGAGAAAAGGGCTGAAGAAATGCGAACAGAAACCGAGATCCCTTTGCTCCATCCCCCTTTTTTTTCCTCCAGGGAATTTCTGCAGCAATGGCGACTTGTGTGCTCGGGAAAATGGGCCTAACCAAAGTATCCATCCAAAAACCTTTTCTCTCATAGCTTGGATTTTTTCTTTCTTTGAAAATTAATGCTCGAAGAGCACTGAATGAGCAACAAACCTTTACCTTTTTATTTCCAGGAAATGCAATAATGAAATCTTATCAAATTGGTTAAAATCTGAAGAATAATCATCATTACACATCAGTCCGGTTTTTGAATTTATTCCATAGGCTGATCGTGAGAATGCATTTTTTTATATGTCGCTGCTTTTTAAAAACACTTCCACCCTTGCTAAAATAAAATATAAATCACATGCGACGAAAAACTTATCAGACAAAGATTCTTTATATAGCTTTGGAAAGTCTGTTATGAATGTCACAAATTTTGCAGCAGTCATTCAAATAGAAATTTCAGCGGCGTGGAAGACTCTACGATCATTAAAATCTCAATTTAAGTTTATGTAAACTATTGTACACCGATTCAAAGGCAAATGAAAAAGCTGGATGACGTACCGGCTTTATTTCAAATTCAAAGAAAAATTACTGGCTTAATAATCGGAATTCTGAAGTTTGTCTTTGATCGCAACCAATCCTTCATCCGCACACACAGAGCTTCACGAGACATTTTAAAGAAAGGTGGGATTTAAATCAAAGTGATTAAAAACTCCAGGAATATACTGATAACTGTCTTTCAAAATTGTTAAGTTTTTTTTTTTGGTAATCGATGAATGACCAATAAGCGCTACGGGAAATACGAAACACCCGTAAGATTATGAAACCATGGTTCCATATTGAAACTCTATTCGAATACGTACCGGATAATGAAAATAATTTCTTCGAAGTCAGAATCACGTCGAATTCAAAGTCAGAGTTTAACAGGTTTTAAACAATCGGCTCTTTCTGATAACGTCAACAACCTAATTTCTAGATATACCGCTTGGTTTATAGCAGCTTTATTTTTTTCTGAACGGGGAGATCATGTACTGTAAATCAAAACGGGGTTTTATAGCCAACAGCAAAAAGATAAATGAAAGTGTACTGTATAATTCTGACATTCGCAGCTATAGAGAAACATCTTCCTTCCTCTCAAACCATACATGTAGTATTTTTTTCTAAATCCCCGACGTCATGTATACATGCCATTCGAAAAGAAAAAAACACACACACACGGAAGGGCAGTCGATTTACCTGACACAGTTTTGTCACTGTCTGCAGATCCCCCGGAAGGCGACAAACAGGGATTCACAGTCCCAGCCTTATTGTTGTCTTTCGAACCGCCGCAGTTGGCTTTACTGCCGCTGGTGCCCGAAGCTCCGGACGAGTCCTTATTACTGGCCGGGGAATTGTTCTCTCCATTGCTGCTGCCGCCGGTCTGCTGCTTCAGTCGCTCTTGCTTGCGGAACTTTGCCCTGCGATTCTGGAACCAGACCTTGTAGAACAGAAAGAAAAGAAAAAGAAAAAAACGCCGAAGGAGGGACGATGGTATGAGAATACATATACGAGCAAGAAAAAAGAAAACAAGCTTGTCAGACAAACTCCGGGGAGGCTGGAATTAGCGCCGGAATTGGATCAATGCGCTGAGGAGGGCTCTGTTTCCTGGTATTTTGTCGAGTGGACGCCACGAAGGCTGCCGAATTTCATATATATTTATTTTTTGCTCTTCTTTCACGCGATGGGGAATAGGGCAATGGATACTGTATAGCACGCAAGATTTTTTTTTTTTGCTGTTGTTGCGGAATTTCGACGAGAAAATATTACACGAAGATCATACGCGAGCCAATTTTACGGTTCCGTTCTGTACATATAGCAGTATATTTGTCTTATTTTTCTTTCTAAATTTCATTAGTGGGTTTCATAAGCAGAGGAACATGGTACAGTACAGTACTTGAGTCAATATACTGAGCATGCATCACAGTATACGCGAAAAACTATGCTGATGAAAAATAATCTTTCTCTTGGCGGAAAAATCCTGCAGACTATTTTAGTTTCTGTTCAAGAAATTCCGGCGATTTAATTTCGAGGTTTTATTTTCATCAGTACGATCTAATTATGGAATTTATTGACAGCCTTTTTCGGAAATTTTTCAGGGACTTCTTTTTAGGATTCGATGCTATCGATTTTCGACAAGGCGTATTTTAAAAAAATGAATTTAAATTCTTGAAAATCTTTGATCAATATTAACAGATGGTTCACAATTAAGGGGTTGAAAACATATA